CTCTTGTGTCCTTTATACTTACTTAACAAATTGTAAAACAGCCTGCACACCGCAAGTACTTCTAGGTTGTAAATGTGAAAAATTTGACTCAATATAAGAATATGTGATGAACTACTACAAAAATATAGATTTTCTATTTCGTAATAAATACACAATGCCAAATAGAATCAAATCAAGTCTTGGTTTCTTTAATTTGTCTCATTTCAGGCTACATGCTGCTTTACAGAAAGAAATACTCAACTTTTCTGGCCTATATTGTGGGCAAGGTGTAATTGACTCCCCTGTCAAGTTATGAGTCTTTGGACTCCATGACAAAAACAATCTGACCTTCACAGGAAAGTCAATTTGCACCCCATCCCCTATACTATCTATTAGCCTGTGCCACCCATTAGGAAAGTGGCATCTTATAAAATTCTGTTTTTCAAGGAGGATGTATCCACTGTCGTTACTTTTCCGTCCCTTCTTTAAACAAAAAGTTAAAATAATTGTGGTTAAAAGCAATGACAGTGGGTAATTGAGACTTTGATTTTAACTGCTCTAAAATGCCAATGTGGAGACCCTCACTGGCATCAGCAATCTCTTGCTGTGTGAGCCTTGGGTTGTTGAATGTTCTAAGGGCAAGGAAAAAACATTCATCTTAAAAAATAGTATTACAATTTTTACATTGAATAGGAAATTATTACATACAAGCACAGAATATCAACAGAGGAAACCAATGTAATGGATTCCCCCTGTTTTTTGTGTAATTATAAGGCTGTTAATCACACATGATATCTCACCTCAAAGCAAAGGCGTTTAAATTCTCTTCTGGCTCCCAGGAGTTTTGTAGGCTCGAGTAGCCCTTCCACTTGATGAAATATTCAATCTAGACCAACGATTGAGTAAGGTTTAATGAGTATTCGTTATGAAAGAGAGATTCATTTCAGTCAAACACTTGGAGCAAAGCAGATTCACTTACCTTTTCCTTATCGACTCTTTTTGAAACGACTCTTTTGATCTCGTAGAATCTAGATTTTTTCTCTTTCTCTCGGTGTAAAAATCCGCGGTACTGAGATCATTCAGCGATTTTTATAAAACAAAATTTTTGGCATTTCGCTCACTGATAGCTTTCCAACTGCTTCACAACCAAGCTACGCAGACTCAGTAGGGTCGAAATGTACAGAATAGGGCCCGTGTCATGAACCGCTGACTGTCCTAAATTTCTGCCCATGGATTATGTGTTTCCTGGCTGTGTCTGGAGTCATGGTAGCTCTTCAGTATGTTGTAGTATTGGCTGTCTCTCTTCCTGACTTCTCAATTCTTGGTTTCCCTGTCGGTAGTGATTGAGTTTGGTTGAAACTGTTTGATTCCTGAGGAGTGGGTATAGAGTGGCTGCTGTTGCAGGGTGTGATAAATTAGTCAAGTGACAAAATAAGTAAAGTAATTAAGTATCAGAAAGAAAACTGAAACTCTTTGCTCTTTTTGGAGGAGGTGATTCTAATCATCCCTGTCTTTATCTTTATCTTTCATTAGATACTCTTAAAACAGTTTAATAAACTATCCTAAGAGATTATTAAGAAAAGAAAAAGAAAAGGTTACCACATATATTTTATATAAATATATATAGAGGATATTACACAATGGCCAGAAGATATGAAATTTTTTTGCACACTTGCTCATGACATAAGCTAACGTGCAATTTTCTTTTTAAAATATGGGCTATTACTATACATGGTAGAGATTGAAAAGTTGGCTTTAATACAAATTCTGCATATTAATACTTATCTTGTGGCAAAATTTTAGAAATTCCTTTGGTTTGATTCAACAGGTTTGAATCAAATTCCACAAGAGACCAATTTGGAACAGATCTGAAATTATATCACAGCACAAGAGAAGGAGTTCCAAAAGTATCACTAAAACACATTTACTATTTTAAAATGATAATCAGATATATTGACATCATGGAGGAAGAGGTTGTCTGAGCTAATGTATGTGAGTGATATTGTTTGCAATAAATACGAGTAGAAACACCTTACTAACATAGGTACTACTAATGTCAACCTGTCACCACCACTACATTCACTAGAAATGCATGCAAACCTGTATTACAACTCACCAAAATTGATTAGTTTTCACATATGATTAACAAAAAGACTACAATAGCATTGTTATTACAGGTGAGGAAATTAATACCTTATTAAAATATGACATAAGGTAATGGTTATGGAAATATATTGATGTGAATGCAATCAAAATGAAAGAGAGTATCTGCATGATATTCCATTTAAACTGTTCATCGATCATTTCAAACTCTCATAAATTTTTTGACTGCTTTGAGAGTAATTATCGTAAGTACGTATGAGCAGACAAAACCTCAGTGATGCACATGTGCAGGCTCCAAGAAGAGTAGTGTATTAAATCTTTTGTATCAAGTTTATCTTTAAGTACAAAGTATTCTTACAAAATACATGAGAACAGGACATGAGAGTCAAGGTACAACCCAACATTTGGGACAGTTTTAAATCAAGATTGAGCAAGTTTTGGGTATAAATAATTATATTAAAGTGTCTCACAGCTCATCATACATATTGAACTACCATACATACATACATAACTTTATTTACATTAGAACTTAAGGTAGGATGGTAATGATAATTTGTTCAATCCAAGAAAAACATTGAAATAAGGAAATCTAATTCCTTAACTTCACCAATTAAATTCCTTAGTTACACAACAATAAATGAAACAATATAAATCAGTGATGATAATTTTGAATGATACTTCAATCACTCTTCCACTATTTTCAAATTCTTATGCAGAATGTAGAGGTGTTGATTAAGGAACGAGTATAGTTTTGTTTTCTTTGATAGGATAAAGAGCATTTTGTGTAATAAGCATTCATATTCCCCACAACATTTCTTAAGGGTGGTAAATTGTTCATGTAGATCTTTGTTCCTGTGATTGTGGGCATCACAAAGGTGTTTTCCAATAGTGGAGGGCTTGTATTCATCAGAGTGTTATGAGTCTATGTACAGTGGAATTAGTGAGCTTCTTTAGGTACTTCAGTTTACTTCACGTTTATTGAATCAAAATACCAGATAGTGTTTGGAAACATCACAAGAGCTGATAAAATCCTCTATCACTTAGTAAATTAATCTGAGTTCAGGATAAAATTTACTCTTTGGGGAAATGCTTTTAATCTTAGTAAAAATTGTTCCTGTTGTTTCTTTATCTTGTACTCAAGTGTGTGTTCTTGGAAGATTTTCAAACGGTTTTTAGTTATCATAATTTTTATCAAAGAACAAAACTGCAAAAATGCACAACCTCCAGAGATGATTTGCACTAATCTGATTACTTGCCATGGCAGTACATATAAGATTGTAGTAAAGAACAAAAAAAAATGTGATACAATTTAAGAATTAAGGTTATTTGTTTTTTATTGTTAATTTCTTCCATGCCATTTCGAAAAGCCACACATTAGCAGACATAAGGCAATGCCACCTTGTTTGCAACTGTACGAGGTTTTGAAGATGCGTCCTCCACTGCATTTTTTTCCATCTTTTGAGCGCATGGCACACGCTTTCTTTCTGCCCTGCAACTTTTCAAGAAAGTATCCTTTCAAGTTCTCTTTACTTGAGAGAGTTTGGATGACACACTTGCCTGATGTTGAGGGATGTTTATAGCCATCATAATCAGCTATAAGGAGCCTTGCCAGTTCATGCTGGAAGGCTAGTTGGCTTTGCACCTTCTTTCAACTTTCTCTAAAATATAACCATTGATGATGGACAAGTTGAAGAAGAACCAAGGCAAATACTTGCACCTCTTTTGGGAAACTGACCCTTGAGTATAGTAGCTCTGGTATTGATCGTTGGCATTGACCCCATTCATGCCTTTGTTATACACAGTGTCCGCATCTGGCTTTTCCTTCAAGTCTGCAGGGTCAACTCGCTTTCTTCTTTCTCGCACAACCTGCTGTACAGCTTGGATCTTGGGCTCCAGAGGAGTGTTTGTTGATTAGAGAGATACAACATGTTTGTCCCTTCACATTGTAGCCACCAAATTCTGCACTGATGAGTTCTGATCTCCCCAGGAACTAACTTGGCATGCTTCAAGTCAGCAGGATAGTCTCTCCTGTCTGTGTGCACAGTGCTGCAAGTGTAAGTACCCCTCAACTCCAAATCTCGCATCAAATTAGCTGAAGTAAAAAAAATAATCGGGAAAAAATGTCAGCAGTTGTCCAGATATGGTTCACTGAGTGTCCAAACAATATAGTATCCCAAACCTTTTTGTTTAATTAGTTCACTAGTGCGATTTGGAACCACGAGAGGAGGAAGTTTTTGTCATCAGAGAGCACCCAAACTTTGATGCCAAATTTATTGGCTTTCATAGGCATATATTAGCTGTGGTTACATACACCTTGGGTTTGGGGCTTTATGGAGGGTAAATGGCTTGGGTTTGTTTAAGCTCAGGTTTCATGTTACCCTTGGGGATGTGGTTACACAGTAACAGACTCCCTTCAGGGTTAAATATAATTAGATATGAGTTCACTGACCCGACAAATTGGCGGGAAAGTACAGAGCAACATTGATGTTATGAATCAAGATCTACTAAGCTTAATTGCAGTGATTCTCCTGCTTATTATATGACAGTCCACTATAAATATAACCATCCAGCAGTTTTTTGGGAGAAGACACCAAAGAAGACGCTTTCAACTATGCTACCTTCAACTCAGCATAGATGATAGCGATGAGATCAATTAAAATGTCTTTTTGCAGCAATCAAGTAAACTCTTCATTTTTTTTCTTTGGAATAAAAGCACTGAGTTGAAACCTATTTTTTAGGAGCAAATATGTCCCCAAGTTTTCCTAACATGAACACACCAAATTCTTGGTGTAGTTGTTGAGCTTCTGCCTGAGATTTGAGGAGAGCTTCAAAAACTCTCTTGTCATTTTCCTTGGATCTTTGTATGGATTCTTGCTGTAACTTCATCATGTTAAGTATTGCTAGCTCCATGTCATTGCCACTGAGCCTTTTCTTCTTCTTTTTTAGGTCCTTTCCCCTCTGTTGCCCAGTTTTTCCAGTTTTCTCTGCAACCTCACTATTGCCTTCAGCAGTGGTGGCTGGCCGTTTCTCTGGTTTCTTGCCACAGTCTTGATTTCCAGTCAACAAAATATTGTCGGTATCAGGATTTACTTTGTCTGATGAAACCATAAATTCGTCTATGTCTTCATAGTGTTTTGAACGTTTTCCATTCCCTTCCTGTGTGATTGTTGTTGTCACATACACTTTTGTATTTATCCAAGAGCGCCATTCCCATTTATTTTTCCTGCCTTGATTACTTTTTGTGGACTTGAGTTTATCGTACTACTCCTTTCAGGCGGCAATTAAGCATTTCTCCTTTGTAAATGACCAGCTACTGTGCTTGGAATTTCAGAACGGTTATATTTCTGGGTGCTTGAGGGTGCACCAGACGTTAATGGGTTAATGTTCAATGATTGTGTTTTCCAATCAGTTGGGATCAAGCCAGTTCTTTTGACTGGAATATTGAGGAATTTTAAAATTGCAGCTTCTTCTTGTGCCTTTGTCTACCCGCAAGAATGGACTCCTTCCTTCCTCCATTTACACTCTATCCATTGGCAGCTCTTCAAGCCCAGTTTATGCAAGAACCTCCTCTTTTCTTTGTCATTCCACCACTATTTGCAACAGCCTTGCAAATTCTGGAATAGAGAGCTTTCTTTTCTTAGTAAGTTGTTTCTCTTGCTGAATAACAGAGTTAATTTATTCCTTTCTGTTCTGGCCCTATCAATGGGTTGCAAATCAGCTGTCATTATTTTCCTCATAATGTCAGCCTTATACTCATAAAACTTGGCAACATATCGCTCTGAAAGTAGGTGTAACAAAAGCCACTCTTCCTTAATTATTTTCAGACTGGTCCTAATTGGGTGTGGCTTTCAATGTCTGTTAAAGCAGGAACCCTCTCAGAACCAATATCTTTTTCACATTTTTCTTTGAGGGTTACTTCTGATGGCTTACCTCAAAATTCAAGTTCATTCATTTTTGACATTATGTTATCCTTCTTTTGATGGTCACACAGCAAATGCTGGGCATAATGGAGAGGTCTACTGAAACCTTTACCCAAAGCCTTTTCTCTGTGGGTACCACACACTAGGACATTTGAGTGTTTCCATTTAGCTTTATTGTAGTTGACAAAAGCTTTTGGTAACTAGATGGTTCCTTTTTGCAGTGGATGAGGGCTGGTCCAATCTAGACTCTCCTTGTAATCTCTTTTTCAGAGAAGGAAGTGCCTTATATGGTTAGAGTCACATAATATTATTAAATGTAAGATCCACTTCTAAAACACTAAATTGACTAGGATTGATACAAACTCTCTTAATTTCCTTAAGTTGTTGGTCTGTGGCTAAGACAACACAAGGATAAAGAGGTGTAAAGGGTATATAAGGACACTTTATTTATGACTCCCTTTGCAGGGTTATTCTTTGATAATTACACAAGTATTTTTTAAATAACTTTATTGGGTTTACAACATAGTATTAACTACAAAAACATATTACATAAAGACAAAAATAAATGAAGATAGGAACAAAAATTAATTCTAACCCAAAAGGGCATGTGCAAACAGGACTGGCGTCCCATGCGAGGCACCACCCTGTAGCTAAAATACAATAAAACACAAGAAATCTATATTATACAACAAGTTTGTGTGGTGTCAGTTGCACCTATAGCTTGTGGCAGAAGCAAGTTCTAACTAGTGTCCATGTGCTGGGCCAGTCAATGTCAAAAGATGTTCTAAGGCAGTCAAAAGTGTTTGTTCAATGAAAAGCAGGAAGGAGAGCAGACTCGAAAAACTAAAAGAAGGAGCAATAGAACAAGAGTAAATCCAAAGTTTCACAATGCAATTAAAGTAGGAGGCCTGGAAAGTGCTCGTTTTACAGATTGGTGTTTTTAAATTAAAGGAGTTGATTAGTCTAGTATGGCTGTGAGAAATAAAGCTACAGGAGTTCATTAATGTTACTG